GCTGAGACGAGTCACACGTCATCCAAATTCAGCGCACTACGGTGAACCCCGACTTCTCCGGGTGACACTAAACTCCATCAAGGACACAGAGGCAGTTCTACTATCGTCCAACAGGCTTTGTCATTCATCACTCGAGGCGCGTATACTTCCTGATATCCCCTGGAACGAACGTCCGAAAAAGATGAGCAACCGTGAAGAAGTTCGTAAAGCCGAGGCGAAACGGACGATAATTGTGTACGGGGTACCTGAGCTCCAAAATTCAACCTCTGATGCAGCGGATGCACATGACCGGGAGCAATGGAGTTACATCCGCCACGAAATCTCCCTCAATAATATCATCGCTAAGCGGTTGACCAGGATTCCATTTTCACCCAACTACAAAGGGAACGGGCCCAGACTTATGAAGGTGGTGCTTCAATCTGAGTCTTTGTTACCGCTCGCCTTGGAAAACTGGTCCAAATTCCGCATGAAGCTGCCAGCTGAAATTCGGTTAAAGGCATCAGGTAGGCTGCCACGGATTACCAACGACTCACGGGGAGCGATCAAATTGTTGAACCATCCACTCATGCAACTTTGTGAAGGCATGGATTTATCAACAACCGCAATATCCCACGAAACACGGCTGAACACGGGGGACCAGCAGGGCCCGGAAGGCCGCGATCAGTCGTCTAACCGAAAGCAAACTCAAAGGCAAACGTCACCACAAAAAACGGTTAATGGCCGACCCCTTAACGGTCGGCACAAACTCCATTTCTACCACAACCTGTGCTAGCTCACTCTTGGTTACAAAAGCACTATCCTGCATGTATACTAATGCACAAGGCCTCATAAGTAAGTTGGTAGAACTCCGTCACCTTTTGGCTTCGGAGCCTCGAGACATCATAATGTTCACCGAAACCTGGCTGAGCGGCGAAATCACAGACGCTGAGATTGCCATACCGGGTATGTCACTTCTCCGGAACGACAGAACGGGCAAGGGCGGTGGCGTGCTCATTTATTTCCGAACGAACCTTCGTTGTGAGCTCATAGACGATCCCCAGACTTGTGTCACCGACGTCCTTTGGTGCAAACTGTGGTTGGAACGCAACGACGTATGCCTTCTCTCTGTGGTTTACCGACCACCGAAATCCACTCCGGAAAGGGACAACAGACTTATCTCCGCTTTTCGCTCCGTGCTTAATCAGAAGTACAGCCACATCCTCGTTGCAGGAGATTTCAACACCCATGACTTGGAAAATCCAGCATCCGAGACAGAGGTGTTCAAGGCATATTTGCAAGAGCTACTCTCTAGTACCTTCTTGTATAACCACGTCACCGTTCCAACCAGGTTCAGAACAGGAAACAACCCATCGATATTAGATCTAGTGCTCACTAACGAAGAGCTCATGGTCGATGGACTAAAGGTGTGCAGTCCTTTGGGCCGTAGCGATCACGTGACTTTGCAGTTCGATTACATCTGCTACGCCGAATATCCAACTGCGGAGCTCGAAACGAGGCAATCTGTTATCCATTACCACGTTCTGTCTGCCTTAGTTGAGAATACCAGCTGGACGTTTCTAGCTAACTGCACCCCAGAACTAGCCTGGGAGACATTTGCGAACACCATCACCTCACT